CCAGTTTATGCAAAACCAATTAGAAATGGTGCACATCTATGTATTTTGATATAAGAAAATATCTAAACCACTACTAAGTGAAAAAGCAGATTGATATATTTTTTTAAATTTAGTGTAGTATAGAAAAAAAGAAAACTATGCACTAATTTTTGACAGTGATTATCTCTGAAAGAGCACTTGGGAAGTGCACTCTAGGCCTTCACCTTTTATAATTTTCTCTGATACATGGGGATCTTTATGGGAGAAAAAGCAGATTTTTAAAAAAATTATAAAGCTCAGTCTTAATAGGCAGAGCACACAATTTTTATAGTTCATGTAAAGACTTTAGTTTTTTACAGAAGTTTTTAAGATTCACAGCAAAAGTGAGAGGAAGATATTGAGATTTCCCATATACCCCTTGCTGCCCCACATTCATAGCCTCTCCAATTATCAACATCCCCCTACCAGAGGTACATTTGTTACAAGTGATGAATCTACACTGACACATCATTCTTATTTGAAGTCTGTAGCTTACATTCGAGCTCAATCTTGGTGTTATACATTCCATGGGTAGACAAATGTATATGACATGTATCCATCATTACAGTACACAGACTATTTTCACTGACTTAAACAGCCGCTGTGCACCACCTATTCACCTCTCTCCAGCTCCACCTCAGTCACGGGCAACCACTGATCATTTTACTGTATCCACAGTTTTGCCTTTTCTAGGTCATAAGTTAGAATCATACCATATGTACCCTTTTCAGATTGGTTTCTATTACACAGTAATAGTCATTTAAGGTTCCTTCTCGTCTTTTCACGACTTGATAGCTCATTTCTTTTTAGCACTGAAGAATACTCCATTATGTGGATGTACCACAGTTCATCCATTCACCTAGGAAAGGACGTTTTGGTTGCTTTCAAAATTTGGAAGTTATTAATAAAGCTGCTATACACATTCATCTGTAGGTCTTTGTGGACATTAGGTTTTCAACTCCTCTGAGTAAATACCAAGGAGCATATAACTTTTGGAAAATTCGGGGTCACCTATCCATATCATGAGAATTAAAATGAAAGCATATGGTACACTGCCTAGCATGCAGGAAAAGTTCAATAAATGCTAGTATACTCTCAATTCTGCAATGCCTTCTAATGCTACCAAACAATATACTAAGCCAGGCCAGTATACTTAACCATTAGCTAGTAGTTAATGTTTATTCCATCTCCTTCTTTCCTGTCAGGTGCCACTTCTTACTGTCAATATACCTACTTTTTAGAGGTACCCCCTCACATCTGTTGCTTCAAACTCCTGTGAACTCCTAGAATATCTTGACTGTACTTATAAAATGTCTGAAAACAAGTTGCCCAAAGTCCACTTTAATTTTAAAAGACAACCAAATACACAATTATATTGATTCAATTTTTCAGATTCTCTCAAACTCTAGCTCTATCCTTCAACTGAAAGATGACTCACAAATCTAAAATGTGTATTTGTTGTGTGGTTTTCACCTTATTTTTCCTGATTTAATTTTCCAATTCCAGGGTAGGGTGGAGAAGATGGGTTTATGCTTAACTTAAATGCTTAAGTTCTAGATCACCATCCTCCCAACGCTTCACTAAACAATGATAATTAGCATTAGCTTGTGTAGCATTTTTTAGAAGACCACGTACAAACGTGGGATGGCTATCTTCAAAACCAAACAACTGTCTTTCTTAGTGAAATTAACTGTGGGGTTTCTTTTCAAAGCTACAACTGAGAAATTTGATTCCTGGTTACAGTGTCCCAGGCAATTATTGTAGCCTCACATCCACTATGGATATCTCTCATGAAACAATCCCCCTTCCCCCACCAAACTGCATGGTCCCCAATATGCACATTCAAATACTAGTAAGACACTGCTATCAAATGACAACATTATGTAATACAGATTTAAAAAATTCACATTCATTATATCATTTCATCCTGTGTGGCGAACCTGGGAGGGGCAGGGATCCATTTAATAGATGAAAAAAGACAAAAGCATAAAGAGTTTAAAATACTTGCTCAGAGCAAGTAAATGGCAGAATCCAAAACCAAGGAGGCAATGATACAGTTCCAGTGAAAGAAATTACAGTGATTTTATAAATCAGTTCTATCTGAATTTAAAAAAAAAATTGTTTTTTAAAGTAGGCTCTACGCCCAACACAAGGGCCGAACTCATGATCCTGAGATGGAGAAATCACTCAGTCTTTACCGACTGAGCCAGTTAGGCACCCCAGTTCTACCTCAATTTAAATCCTACCACTTACTACTTGTAAGACTGGAATGGAAGCTCCATGACTGTTTTGTTCACTGCTGTATTTCCAGCCTCTAGAACAGTGTAAGTACACAGGAGATCAGTATATGTATGATAAACATTATAAAAAAATCACTTGACTTCTTTGGACCTCTGTTTTCCTCATCTGTAAATGGAAACAATAAGGTCTTATCTGCTGGTATAATATGTACATAAAGCATCTGGCAGGTATTTAAAATTAATAGACCTGACTCCTAGTTTAGGGTTCTTTACATAAGACCACCATAACACTCTCACTTCTTCTGTAGGCTCTAAGGAAGTAGCTGAGAACAAATGTCTGTACAACTGGTAGGCAAGCTGGGTGGTAATCAGGATGGAGGAGATAAAGAGCTAAATCCTTCCCTCAGTCAAGTAGTCAGCTGTTCTCTTTACTATTCTGCCATAGCAATGACAAAGATCTTCTAGAAGAATCTGTTAGCTGATTGCTTATTTCAAAACAGAAAGTCTTGTTGATTAGGGAAGCACCTAATCTATACTTATAAAAGGCAACAAGAAAGAGGGGAGGAATACTGAAAGGTAAACGAGACAAGAAGAAAAGAATACTGAGGTGAAAAGATCCAGAATACCTATACTTATTAACTCAACCTAAGAATGGCCTCTGTCCCATTTCTCTGTAACTCAGCATGTTCTTTCCAGTAAATCTAATTCTAGAGGATGAAGCAGTCTTGAAGACCACTAGTAAGTACTACCAGAGACAGAAACAAAAGGTTTATGTCATTAATAAGTAGAAACAAAAGTTAAAAGCAAAGGGAGATGGTACTACAAATGGTACCATCAAGAAAGTGAAAAGACAACTCCTAGAATGGAAGCAAATATTTGCAAATCACATAAAGGACGTGTATCCAAAAACACAAAGAACTCTTACAATTCAGTAATAAAAAAGATAAAGAACTGAATTTAAAAATGGGCAAAGAACCAGAACAGACATTTCTCCAAAGAAGACACATAAATGATCAGTAAGCACATGAAACAATGCTTAACACAGTCATTAGGGAAATGCAAATCAAAACTGCCACAAGATACCATTCCACACCCACTAGGATGGCAAAATAAAAGAGATGGACAATAACAGATTGTGCACAGATACGACTTGGTGAAGATGTGGAGAAACTGCAACTCTGATACACTGGTAGTGGGAATGTCAAATGATGCAGTAGCTCTTGGAAGTGTGGAGGTTCTTCAAATGCTAAACACAGAGTTACCATACAACTTAGAAATTCTACTTCTAGGTGTATCCCCAAGAGAACTGAGAACATATGTTCACACAAAAACTTGTACATGAATGCCTATAAGAGTATTTAGAATAGCCAAAAAGTGCAAACAACCTAACTATCTGTCAGCTGATGAATAGACAAAATGTGATAGATCCATACGGTAGAATTTATCATTAAAAATAAAATACTGATACATGCTACAATGTGGATAAGCCCTGTACACGTTACACTAGGGGAAAGAAATAAAGTTACAGAAAACTATGTATGATTCCAATATAAAAAGTTTTAATGCAAATAAAGATTACTATGATAAATATTAATGACTAGATAATCACAAATGCTTAAGACTTCAGGAAAGCAGCAATAATTCAATAATTTTTAACTTAGTGCCATAGATAATATCATTTAAAATTTTTTATATGAAAAATTCATTCTTTTCTTGAAGAGCTGCGAAAGAGAACTTAGTGGAGTGTATAAAACTCAATCCTCATATTATCAAAGGAGCTTACTAAAACTCAGGAAGAAATACATGCATATTTTAAGTATTAGGTAACACAATGAGGACAAAGTAGATGATCTTTAAGTTTTGGGTTTTTTTTTTAATTTTTTTTAACATTTATTTATTTATTTTAATTTTTTTTTTCAACGTTTATTTATTTTTGGGACAGAGAGAGACAGAGCATGAACGGGGGAGGGGCAGAGAGAGAGGGAGACACAGAATCGGAAACAGGCTCCAGGCTCTGAGCCATCAGCCCAGAGCCTGACGCGGGGCTCGAACTCCCGGACCGCGAGATCGTGACCTGGCTGAAGTCGGACGCTTAACCGACTGCGCCACCCAGGCGCCCCAACATTTATTTATTTTTGAGACAGAGAGAGAGAGAGCATGAATAGGGGAGGGTCAGAGAAAGAGGGAGACACAGAATCCGAAACAGGCTCCAGGCTCTGAGCTGTCAGCCCAGAGCCCGACGCGGGCTCGAACCCACGGACCGTGAGATCATGACCTGAGCGAAGTCGGACGCTTAACCGACTGAGCCACCCAGGCGCCCCTAAGTTTTTTTTACTCTGAAATAAAGATGGAACTTCCATATAATGGAACATTTTATACAGTAAATAAAAAAGAAAAGAAAGTTGTTTCATAAAGCAATGGACTGATCTTCAAGATATTTTAAATGAAAAAGGTATACAGTATGTTACCTTTTGCATTAAAAAGGGGCAGGAGATTGTGTGTGCTTACGCATATATGTGTACAAGTATCTAGGCAAGCACATGTTTTTGGTGGTTTGTGTAAAAATTAGCTTTGGAAAAATATATAAGAAACTGCTAACACTAGGGCTATATGTGGGGAGGGTAAGAGAGTACTGGGAGGACAGAAGACAGGAAGTTTTCCTCAGTTTACCTTTTTGTGTATTCTGAATTTTGAGTAATGTGAATGTATGGGTATCAAAAGGAAAAATTAAAAGTACTTTACCTTGCACCATTGTTCCTAATGACTTCCACAGTTTCTTCAACAAAATATCGATCCTTGACATATGCAAAAATATCATCACAAATTTCATGTAAGCGTGAACGATGGGTAAGGTTGGTCAAGTATAAAACTGGAATAATTAGTGGTTCTGGAAAACTCTGAAGATTCTGTCTTGCTTTTTTCTCTGACTCAAGTGCTTCCTGATAGGTCAGTCCAGGTCTACCCGTCACAGCACAACTCCACACAAGACTGTTGCACAGAATGGTTCGTTCAAAAAAGTCACTGATTAAAAAACAAAAACAAAAATCCATTCATCACCTATCATTTCACAAATTTTACATTAAAAGCTGATAAAGGATTATGCCTTCATTGTAAAATTTTACATAGAATCATAGAACGAGGGTTTAGTAACTGGTCAACTTACACATTAATACAAACCTAAGAAAAAGTATATTTAAACTAGACATTTATATTTTGCAATTTAAAGGTACATTCAGCCAAAATTGAACTTTGATTTCCATCAATTTTGAAATTGGGAATAAACTGCAAATAAACTCAATCTTTCTTTTTTCTTCTAATATTAAAGGTGTTTGTTCCAAAGCAGCCAAAACACTAGAGACAATTTAAGCACTTAACCATGAACTTTTAAAAGCTTTAACGTAATAGTGAAAAACTGGCAAATCTAAACATCTAATGATGAGAAAGTTTAGGTAAATTACAGTACTTTATGTAATGAACAATCATAGTCATTAAAGAGTATGAGAAGAGTTCTTAAAAAACATGTTTACCAGAAAAAAAAAAAAAAACTTTCCAGTTTGATTCCCTCCTATATTTTTGTAAGTTTTTTTAAATGTTTTATTTATTTTTGAGAGAGAGCACGAGTGGGAAAGGGGTGAAGAGAGATGGGAACAGAAGATCTGAAGTGGGCTCTGTGCTGACAGCAGCGAGCCCATTGGGCTCCAATTCACAAACCCTGAGATCATGACTTGAGCCAAAGTGGGATGCTCAAATGACTGAGGCACCTAGGCACCGCCCCCCCACCTATATTTTTGAAAGTAAAAGCTTACTAAAAAAAATATATATGGTCCCACTTGCATCAAAAAGAAAGAAGACATGCAGGCAGGCAGGCAAAGAAAGATAACCTAAAGAAGCATAAAAGACTTCTAGAATGTTCTACAAAAATCCAGGCAAGAACTACAGAGTAGGGATGGGCCTGGGGGACCATTCTACTGAGTGCTTTTCTGCACTGTTGGAATTTCTTAATATGAGCATTTCTTTTCAAAAATTCTATCAGTCACTTTTAAAATGCGAGAGATCCATAATATGGAAGGATCTCTAAGGTATGTTAAGTAGAAAAAACCCAAATCACTGAATAACACAATCTCATATACGTTAATCAGAATAACAAAAATGTGTATTTATACAAATACTATAAACAGATGTTCATTATGGAGAAAGGGAGGGACTGCAAAGGAAGGAAAAGGAAAATTTGTTATTCTAAATAGTTCTATATTGTTTGAATTTTTATAAGAAGCATGTACTTGTATTATTTTTTTATAATCAACACATTTTAGAACAGAGAAGGTTATACATATGTAAAAAGGGTAACAATGGTTGCCTCTAAGTGGTAATATACGAGTAAATGTTTTTCCTTCTCTATACTTTGGTGTACTTTTCAATAATTATTTGTGACTGATACAATTCGCTATTCTCTAACTTTTTCTCCTTCCTGAAATCTCCCTTTTCCTTCTGTCATCATTCTAAAAAGTATTAAGTCTACTATATGTTTACTTCCTGATTAGTATATCTGTAGAGGTTATCCCTAGTAGTCTGATCTCCAAACAAGATTTGAGGTAATTCCATTAACATGGTTTCATTTGTATATTCGTCTGCAGAACAAAATTGAAATCTATGGAATTAAAGAGAACTAATCCTATCTTAATATAAATGGGATCTAAAGAGGTTACCTGCATACATCAAGTTACATGATTTTAATTTAGTACAAAAAAGATTCTTTTGACGTCTGCACCTTTTAGTAGAGGAGATAATGGATATATACCATTAAAATTAAAATTACAAAGTGATTAAAAGACAGAAGCAGATATCTTTTGGGAGTTCAGAGGAAGGGAAGGAGGAGAGATAGGCAAAAAAGATCAAGAAATACCAGAACGGATTTTAAAGGAAATAGTGTTAAAAAGTTAGGTTGTAAAGGAAAAGTAGAGTTGAAGAAAGAAATGTCAGAGAGAACAAAGATGAGTGTAATCTGGTTCTCATAATCAAGAAAATCTATGCCAAATAACTAATTTATTAGCTAAGAAATTGACAACAGATATACCCAATAAGTGGTTATAAATGGTGCAGAACAAAATGAACGAATGGATGGATCTTGAAAGAGCTCTTAAGTTTTACTTCCTAAAACCACAGTTCACTTAGAAAGCTTTATATAAGTTGTCAACTTTTTCCTGTTGAAAAACAGGAACAAACATATCTGTAAGACTCAGCTTACCAAGCCAACACACCTGTTGTGTACAACACACCTGTTGTGAATGTGTACAATTAGCACATGATGTATGTAAGGTATACTTTTATTAATTTAAACCATACTTAATACTACCTAAGAAAAACATACTTCAAACCTAGGTATCTTACATTAACTAGTCTCTAAACTAGAGCTAATAGAAACAGAATGCTAGCCACACATATAATTTTAAATTTTCTAGGGGTTGCATTTAAAAAATTTTAAAGAGAAACAATCTTTTTATATATTAATTAATTTTATATATTTAATTTAACCTAATACATCCTCAAATGCTTTATTTCAAATCTGTAATTAATTTTAAATTCTTCAATGTGTAAATATTTTAAATTCTTTTTTTTTGTACTAAGTCTTCAAAATCCAGTATATATTGTGCCTTTATTGCACATCTTAATTCTGATTATCAAGTTCTTAATAACCCCCATGCCAAATAATGGCTCCTGTGTTGGACAGCACAGCTCTAGCTATAGTGATTAGGTATTTGGTAGGTCATGGGGTATTTGGTGTCATTGTCAGGGAGACAGGGTACTGAGCTGCAATAAACACTATTTAGATGAGTTGACATTGTTCAAAATACCAAAGAGAGCAATGGCACAAGTACCACAAACCTCCACTGAACTTGTTACCAGGCAGAAAAATAGGATCGTTAGTAACCATCGTTATACATACAGCTGTCTTTCTATACTCAGGTTTCCACCTCCTCTGGCAAAGTGTTTGTACTATTTGTTGTTCCTGTGTCTATCTACTCTGCAAAGCTGTTATATTACAGTCCCGTTGTGCACAAAGATCTACACTCAGGAAGAGGGAGACCGAGTACACTACACAGTAGCCGTTTTAAAGCAAGCAAAAAAAAAAAAAAAAAAAAAAAAAAAAGCCCAAGGGCTATTTCTCCCTATTCATCACCCCTTAGCAGCATGGCACCAGCATGGCACCAGCATGGCACCATCTCTGACATTTTACACCTTCACTTTCTCACACTGCTCTAATTCCACTCTTCACTCATTTTTCACACACATTCAAGTATGTAGGATTTTGTTAATAATAGTGAACTCCTGGGGGTAGGTTACAGTGACTCTTTAATTTCTATACTATAAGAACATAAAATCATGAAAATTTTATAGGAAGCACATTTTTCCATTGTGAGCAAAAATTTATAAAGTACAAAATCCTGTTTTATATGAATATGTTTAGGCAAATGTAGATTATTACGTCTCCAATTTATTAGTACATTAGTACATTCCTTCAACAATCTTCTTTACCAGAGATGAGCATACTACTCGCCTGGAGGCCAAACCTAGCTTTCCAACTGTTTTTGTAGTTTTATTGGAACACAACCACACCCATACCTTTAGGTATTGTCTATGACTGCTTTCTCACTAACTCCTATGGAATTGGATAGGTACAACAGACACTATGACCTACAAAGCCTAAAATGTGATTATATCTGGCCCTTTAAGAGTTTGATGACTTCTGCTCTTTACCTTTCTTTCTTTCTTTCTTTCTTTCTTTCTTTCTTTCTTTCTTTTTCTTTCTTTTTTTTACTGGAAGGAGTGACAAAGAATTATAGTCATCTTCAGTGTACCACAATTCCTGCCTGGAGAGCATTTTCATTCTGATGAGTCATTAATAAGAACAAAATCCTCTGCTTACTTTTATAGTACATCTGATGTTGGGAAGAATTTTCCACAGATTACTTCTGGTCCCCATATACATTTTTTTTTTTTTTTTTTTTTTAATTTACATCCAAGTTAGTTAGCATACAGTGCAATAATGACTTCAGGAATAGAATCCAGTGATTCATCCCCTGCATATAACACCCAGTGCTCATCCCAACAAGTGTCTTCCTTAATGCCCCTTGACTTTTCCATTATTTCTTAAGGAAAACTTGCTTCTGAGTTAGCAGGTCGACTATTGGCAAGAACACACCTCTAATTAATGTAAATTCAACCAATTCTATGGTGAACAAACTAAGGAACAAAGAGCAACATACTGTTAACTTACAAGGTTATTTGGAAAACTAAAAATCTAGTAGAATAAGATTAAGAATGAAGTGACATATAGAATGGCTAAAATTCATAACACAGAAAACAACAGATGTTGGTGAGGATGTGGAGAAAGGGGAGCTCTCTTACACTGTTGGTGGAATGTAAACTGGTACAGCCACTCTGGAAAACAGTATGGAGGTTCCTCAAAAAGTTAAAAATAGACTACCCTATGATCCAGGAATTACACTACTAGGTATATACCTAAAGGATACAAAAATACTGATTTGAAAGAATACATACACCCAGATGTTTATAGCAGGATTATCAACAAAAGCCAAATTATGGAAAGAGCCCAAATGACTCTAATGAATGGATAAAGAAGAGGTAGTATGTATGTATTATACACACACACACACACACACACACACACACACACACACACACACAGGAATATTACTCAGCCATCAAAAAGAATGAAATCTTGCCATTTGCAGTGACATGGATGGGACTAGAGACTATTATGCTAAATGAAATATGTCAATCAGAGAAAGACAAATACCATATGATTTCACTCATATGTGTAATTTAAGAAACAAAGCAAATGAACATAGGCAGGAAAAGAGAGAGACAGGCAAACCCTAAAACACACTCTTAACTCTAGGGAATAAACTGAGGGTTGCTGGAAGGGAGGTGGGCAGGGGATGGGTTAAATAGGTGATAGGTATTAAGGAGAGCACTTGTGACAAGCATTGGGTGCTGTA